AAGTGGGTGACAGGATGCTTTGAAATTGGCTTGTGTTCAACATCAAGCGTGAATGAAGAAAGAAAGGCGTATAAAAAAAAAAAAAGCTAAAATTCAACTGAGTTTCGTCCGCGTACTATTGTAAAACGCGTTCTTTTTCAGGATATGTAAATTATTTCATTTTGATTAAATCGTATATAACTCGGTTTATGCACATTCATTGTGCATCTCATTTCCTGTGGAATGAAGAGATGTTCTTGGCGGCTTAGATTGAAAAGAAAAAGTGTGTATCAAAAAGAAATTTTGATTTTTATTCTCTCAAGTTAGGAAGTAAGGTGTAATAAAGTTTAGATGCCCATTTTGTATATTCACGGTATCTCTTTTCTTGATCGTACGTGTAAGGTTGTGTCGCGATTTAAATTCCGCTCGTTCCGTCAATCAGTTTCCAAAAAACAAGCAAAAGAGTTGCGTGAACAGCCGGGGGGGGGGGGCAGCGCTGGGCCGCCGTGCACTCCGCTGCAGCATGCGGGGCACGCGCCGGCCTTGGCTCCTGCGCCCCGCCCTTCCGCGTTCGCGCGCCCGCCACTCGCTTTCAGCGGCGCTTCGGTTTCTCTACTTTCCTCGCACGCGATTGGCGATCGCACTGGCGGCCGCCACGTGTCCAAACTCCTGCCCCGCGGGCGGGACGCGCCGCCAACGGGCGTCGCGATCGCTGCGACGACCACGGGCACTTTGCGATCAGGACAGCACATGCACACACAATGCAGACTTGTTTATTTAACCTCGCACTAACTGTTCAAGTGCAGAGAAGAAAAACTAGCGACATATCATTCAGTTTGTACTTTGATTAATTGAGGATGCAAAGACTTTGTACAAGTCCAACCTCACGTAGCGTATTCATGTTATGTTAAATAACGTGGGTTGGATTATGTAATATTATCTTTATTATATTTTGTTTCATTTCATTAGAGTGGATTGAAAGTAGTAACAGTACGTAATCCAGGTCCGCCCCCTTTGGAAATATAACAATTTCCCTTTTATAGTACAAATTAACGCAACGCTTAACACGACCTCTCCTCTGAACCCGGGGGAGAGACAGCTCATACGAAATGAAGTATGAGCTATCTCATGTATTTCCAACTGTTGTCTGTTGTGACAATTAACGACAGGAGCAAGGTCGCAGCTTTTACAAGAGAGCTAACGATTTTTCCGATCAAAGCCGACGGACGGCTGACGTTTGTCAAAAGCGAGCTCCAGCAATTAGGCGGAAAGGAAGACGGCGCCCCCCCCCCGCCCGCCGGGCTGAAAGCAGGAAGCAACTGCCCACCCGCCGTCCGGCTGTCTAGCTACTGCCTACGCAGAACGCGTGCGCTCCTTAATTAGTGCGCAGATGTGCCTGGAGCAACCAGGAAGAGATTCTCCTTCGTACCACGCAGAAAAATTCACGTCCGACACACTCCAAATTAAAGTAGGAGGAAAGAAAGAAGTACGATGAAAATATTGTTCAATATTAAAATTACATACATAAAAATACATTCTACTTAACGAGAGATTTTTTCTACCCTCTCTCTTTTTTTTGCTTTAAAGATCTGCACTGCCCTAACTTGCGCAACTGTAAATGGCCCAAAATCGTAGTAGTGACAATGAATTAGACTACAATACCGTACCACCGGGTCAATGACCCCCCATCTCGATGAGGTTTTTGTCCAGTTTCCCTGATCCATTGAGCCAATGCTGAGATGGCTCCTTCTTTTGCTTCTGGGCGTAAATGTAGCTTCACTATGCGCGCGTTTTGTTGACTCTCCTTTTCCTTGTAATGGTAGGAGTAGAGGTAAGGGCGAGTTGCTATTTTGTTAGCAATGCAGAAAAATCATACTTGCAATTCGTGTACCGATGCAAATAAGTTTCCTACAACTCAGAAATGACAATGACTTTTTCAAATATTGCTAATCTTGCGATTTTTAAAATTTATTTTTAAAATCTATTTTTATTCCTTTACGTTAAACGTTTACTCATCTTTCAACTATTTATAGTTAAAATGACATAAAGGGATTCTGAAACTCAAGAAAATGTGCACAGATAATCTATTCCCCCTACGTCACACAGTTTTTACTGTTTCTTTGACTGAATAAATCTAAAGAATATTGTACAGAAAGGGTACTGACTGTTTTCGAGATATTGTGAAGTTTGTTTTGTATCCCTTTAGAGGATTTTTTCACAAAACCTTAAAAATGGTTGAATAGAATGAAGTTCAATTGAAGTTCCAATTTTTAGATAATGCACTTAAAATATGTGAAGTCTGGAAAATAGTTTACGTAATTGTTTTAACTAAACTTTAGGCATTGATATTTTTATCTAATTGTAAAAAACCTTGAAATGAATGAAAAATGAAATTAAATTAATCAAGTGATATTCACATCCAGAAGCAAAAACAACTTTCGTCATCAAATATAGTACACAACTAATACACAAATAAGGGCTTTAAGGTATCTGAAAAATTTGCCAGTAGAAAGAACGGCGGTAAGACAAATTGCTGACCGAAGCGCAGGTTTTCTTCCCAGCTGATGAATGCTGGCCAGGTTCTTGCCTTGGCACGAGAAACGAATTCGTCCACGTCTTGGATTAGCTCGCTAGCTGCCCGTGACGTTTTCCCCTCCACTTCGTGACCTGCCATGACACGAACACGTCGTTTCTGTTTTCTTGTGAGTGCATCTCCGCAAAGGCACTCAATCGAAGCTCTCTTGGCGCTTTTCTGTTGAGAATGTTGAGAAACACGGTAGGCACTTGTTAGCCAGATGACTATTACTACCAACTTTGAGTTTTTAGATCTTCAAAGCTTGATGCATTTTCGCACTATTATTATAACACTTTTAGTATTGTGAACATACTATAATGACACATGTGTGTCTTATTCTATTATCTGTAATCTTTTATACTAGTTCTCATTTTCTCTCAAATAGTACCAAATGAAAATTCCCTCACATAAGTACTTTCTTTTCAGTATACACGGTTTGACTGTAAGACGAAAAGGTAGTAGTTAAATAGAAAACAAATAATTTTCTTAAAACGTAGATGTCGTGATACCAAAATATTACATTATTTTTCTATGCCATATCCCTGATAACGAATTGCACTATCTACCCACATCATTCAGACCAATGAAAATTGACATAGCATCCTGTAAATGTTTCAAGGAAACCTCGTAGAACGGAAATTACTAGCAAGAGGAAATGCGCGTCGGAATACTCACACGTTCATCCGTCAACGTCCAAACCAAATGAGCCGCAGCACCTTTTTCTAACAGATCGATCGACGCAATATTGGAAATGTTGGAATCGACTTGTTCCCTTCATCGTTCATCAAGTCTTCAGCAGATACTTGAATCAAAACAATACTACGTTAAAATGGACAAGCCCAATAAAGGTAATTAAAAAAGCAAATTTCGTGATCTAATACGCATTTCTACCAGACCGATCATAAAGAGCTCCACTAAGCAGTGCAAACTTTTGGACATTTCTTACATTTCTTGGGCTAAGTAGTTCTTTAACAACTCAGCAGTTATGCAAAAGGTGTGATGAACTATGGGAAATATTAATCTTAGAATTTCAAAAGTTCAAACTAAAGTTTCAAATCCGTAAGTGGCAAATCCGAAATGTTTACAAATCTTTACTGAAATATCTCAACGAGTTCGAAGTAATCACTATACAATATTCTAATGAATAGGCTTTATTCACAAAACCAATCTTACAGAGGCAAAAATCTTTGTATGTTTGTCGCGAAATGTTTGTCGGAGTCTATTTCATTTCAGATTTCCGCAGATCAATGACTTTTAAAGCACTAAACAGCCTTTTAAAGTCATTGTATTTAATAACCTCATGGCTCTCTCATTGTGCCACACTGTTGCTTCACACTGGAGAGTCATTCCGTTTCAATACGAAGGTATTCATAATCTCCTTCCAGCGAATTTTCGGTCGGGGTGATCCACATAAAATGAAATAACTGCATCAAATCAATTTTGAAAGAAGAGGGCGCGGAACTTTCTTTCGATGGCGGTAAAATGCTCGTAAATTCCATTGTTTTGCAGCAACCATCGCTTTCTGTTCCATCTGACGGCCCTGAACTTCTCAGGGCCAGAAGGATTCACGTGTAAAACGCGGATATTGCAAACACCGTTCTG